TGTACCTGGCACAATGGCAATATTGTTTATGTACCTGGCACACATGGCAATATTGTTTATGTACCTGGCACAAGTGGCAATATTGTTAAAGTACCTGGCACAAAAGGCATCATTGTTAAAGTACTTGACACACATAGCAGCATTGTTTATGTACCTGGCACACATGGCAATATTATTTCTGTACCTGGCACACAAGGCAATATTTTTTGTGTACCTGGCACACAAGACACTATTTTTTAACTGGCACACGAGACAATATTTTTTCTGAACCTGGCACACAAGACAATATTTTTTTCTGTACCTGGCACACAAGACAATATTTTTTTCTGTAACTGGCACACAAGACAATATTTTTTTCTGTACCTGGCACACAAGACAATATTTTTTTCTGTACCTGGCACACAAGACAATATTTTTTCTGAACCTGCCACACATGGCAATATTTTTTCTGAACCTGGCACACATGGCAATATTTTTTTCTGTACCTGCCACACAAGACAATATTTTTTCTGAAAATGGCACACAAGACAATATTTTTTCTGAACCTGGCACACAAGACAATATTTTTTTCTGTACCTGCCACACAAGACAATATTTTTTCTGAACCTGGCACACAAGACAATATTTTTTCTGTACCTGCCACACAAGACAATATTTTTTCTGAACCTGGCACACATGGCAATATTTTGTCTGTACATGGCACACAAGGTAATATTTTTTCTGTACCTGGGATACAAGGCAATATTTTTCTGTACCTGGCACACATGGCAATATTTTGTCTGTACATGGCACACAAGGTAATATTTTTTCTGTACCTGGGATACAAGGCAATATTTTTCTGTACCTGGCACACATGGCAATATTTTGTCTGTACATGGCACACAAGGTAATATTTTTTCTGTACCTGGGATACAAGGCAATATTTTTCTGTACCTGGCACACATGGCAATATTTTGTCTGTACATGGCACACAAGGTAATATTTTTTCTGTACCTGGGATACAAGGCAATATTTTTCTGAACCTGGCACACATGGCAATATTTTGTCTGTACATGGCACACAAGGTAATATTTTTTCTGTACCTGGGATACAAGGCAATATTTTTCTGAACCTGGCACACATGGCAATATTTTTTCTGTACCTGGGATACAAGGTAATATTTTTCTGAACCTGGCACACATGGATTTTTTGCCCCCGAGTCTTATCGCCGACTTTGATAAAGAAATTATGTATTAAAATTGTAAAAAAATAAATAATTCAAATACACACTTAAAACATTAGTTAAATATTTGATAATTTTAGCACTTTAAAATTGATGCTCTAACAAAAGCCCAAGTGCTACAGGCAAAAGTCCCCTACTTTTACTGGGATGAAATTGGGGTAGACATTTGTAAGGTTACATTTGTGTTTTTCTTTTGTTTTTCATTTTAAAATATAACATAAATTTCAAGTGAAAAAATTCAATTATGGAAGTATTTTATAAATGTATGACCTTAGCGCAGCTAATTTTCTTAATCCACAAACACATGACGCTTTGAACTAATCTGAATTGTGTCACCCGACTCTCAAACATACAGGGTGGGCCACATATAACCGGTACACATTCGCTCCATTTTGTACAAGCATCGTTGTAACCCGTTGACTCTGGCTGCAGCAGTCTTCCGATTACACAGAGACGTGCCGGTTTTGTGTGGCCACTTTAGTCAATCAGAGATGCTATTGGTATATTTAAAAGACAATTTATTGAATACATTTCTTTTATCTCTAATAATTTTTTAGTCACTTCTAAATTTCAATATTTATTTTTTTTTTATGTAGGAAACGGCTGTCGGTGAAATTGACACTTTTTAAATCTAAAAAGTGTCTCTAATGTAATGTCTGTGTAATTATGTTTGTTGAAAAAAGCCTTGAGTCTGTGGTGCCATACATGTTTTCTGTATTGTGAAAGTAATATCACACTTATTGTGTGTTGTTTCTTGTTTATGGATGCTGGTATTGTGTTTAGTGTTATAGCTCTGTCTATATCTACTGGGTGAACTGTCCCTGCTTGTATGATTTGTTTAAGTGTAGATTTAGTCTGCAATATTGTGTTGCATGTCAGATATAAATGTTGTTCTGTCTCATCAGCCCCTGTCCTGCAGAGTGGACATTCCATGTACCTAACCCTGTCCTTATATGGTCTTGATGATACTAGTGTCATGTTGTATATGAGTCTATATGTTATTTCTTTGTCTTTATTTTCGATTTCTTTAATGTGTGTATTTTTAAATGTATTCTTAGTGTTTATTGTTCCAAAAACATGTGTCCATTTTATCCTTTTGTAGAGTTGTGTTGCTTGTTTCTTTATTAAATGTGTGTACATTTCTTTAGTTGTCTTGTGTATAAGTGTTTCGTTGCCTTTTAATGCTTGAATGCATGCCATATGAAAATCCGGTGTGTTGTTATCAATTTTTAGTAACTGTCCTAGCCTTATCCCAATGTAATAATGTGTAAATAAATTTTCCTCCTTCTTTCTAATGGCTTGTCCTATAAATTTAATTCTAAGTGCTTTCAGTTTTTTTTGTGTATGTCTTGTAAATTAATCCCCCCTTCTTGTTTAGATTGGATTAATGTTGTATTTTTAATGTTTTGTATTGTTCCTTTGTGCGTACTATTTGTTTGTTTGTTTGTTTGTTTGTTTGTTTTTTTGTTTTTTTTTATTTATTATTATTTTTTTTGTTATACGGAAATGGTCTCTATTTTAATTTGGCGCTAAAAATCTAAGGTATCAGGGGAATGGAGATTTAAAAACTAGAATATTAATAGAGTTCTAGGCCATGAAAAAAGTTTGCGGCTACGGGCCTTTTTTTTTTTTTTTGGGGGGGGGGAGCACTATTTGGGATTCTTTTTTAGTACGTTACTTAAATGCATTTTTGTCAAGTAACTGTAGTAGGTAGTAAGTTCACGCCTAATTTTTTTTTTTTTTTTTTTTTTTTTTTTTTTTTTTTTTTTTTTTTTTTTTTTTGTTTTTTTTTTTTTTTTTTTTTTTTTTTGGGGGGGTGAGCACTATTTGGGATTCTTATATAGTACGTTACTTAAATGCATTTTTGTCAAGTAACTGTAGTAGGTAGGAAGTTCACGCCTTGGGGTCGCCATTTTTGATGGGCTATAGCTGGTTGTTACTTAATTAAACAAGCTAGCATTGATTTTTTGTATGAGTTAATTGGTTCAAGCGTTAGTCCCTTGAACATCTATATTGAAAATACAATGGAAGGTTTCAAACTCACAATTTTCACCGCTTAAAGGGGAGAGAAGTGGCCATTAATAATTTGTTTTCCCTTAAATAAACTCTGTCAATAACAGCAGACTTCCATAACAATGTAGGTTCTACTTAAATTACTGGACGATGGCTAAACTTGGTACGTATGTCTTTGTTATGGCCTGATATGTGTAGGCGTATTTTAGCAACCATCACTTGTCTCCCCTTTGTTTTTCTTTAACATTGACGTCACCAAGTGAATGTACTATGGCCGCAGGTTGCCCTTACTTGGTTTAAGGAGAACCTTTAAATCAAATTATCTCTTTGAATCGTGCTTTAAATCGAGTTGTTATATTTTGCGAACTACTAATGTCAATAATTAGATGGCATCTCTTCAGACAAATATAGGTCCTTAGGCAAAAGCTTTCGTATAAAATACAAATACAGTGGAACCTCTCTTAACGAGCACCTCTCTTAACGAGCACCTCTCATAACGAGCACCTCTCTTAACGAGCACCTCTCTTAACGAGCACCTCTCATAACGAGCACCTCTCTTAACGAGCACCTCTCTTAACGAGCACCTCTCTTAACGAGCACCTCTCATAACGAGCACCTCTCTTAACGAGCACCTCTCTTAACGAGCACCTCTCATAACGAGTAATTCGCATAACGAACAAAAATAAAATGTGAAGAAGTTGCTCCCTTAACGAGCGATATTTCGCATAACGAGTTACGCAGAAAGGGGAAGTCCCTTTTCCTGACATTCATTTGTGAGCCGGGACTTCCGGTCTGTTAGTGTATTGTTTTCGTGTGTGATCACCAGTTTTTTACAAATTTTGTATTCAGACAGTATTCTAAATTTTTTTATGTGCAAAGTTTAATAACCTGTGCTAAAATGTCTTCGAAAAAAACAACAACAACAACAACATAAGAAGACAATCATAAGAGAGAAAAAAATAACTGTTGAAATGAAACGTAAAATCATTGAAAAGCGAGAACAAGGTGTGAGCGGGGCTAATCTAGCGCGCACATACAATCGGCCAACATCAACGATCTGCACAATTCTCAAGAACACAAACAAAATTAAGGAGATGGATGCTTCAAAGGGAAACTGATTCATCGTACATTGAGAAGCATCATCCTAATAAGGAGGTGGCTATTCGTGCTACAAATTTATTCAATGATAATGCTGTGACACATTTTCGTAAAATTTTGAAGCGTCGGCTGCAAAAACAAATTAAATGTCTTTAGACAGTTTTCTAGTTAAAAGGATTAATTATTTATCATAAATTCATATGTTTATTTACGTTTTTTGTTTCAAATCTAAATTGTATTCCAAGTTGTTACACTCCTTAACAATTCATAAGTAATTTTATTTGAATAAATGTGAATAAAATTTTTTGAAAAATGAGTATTTTTTCAGCATGGAGCGCATTATCGTATTTGACGTTGATTTGTATGGGGAAAAATTGTTTCGTTTAACGAGTATTTCGCTTAACGAGTATGAGTCTGGAACGAATTAAACTCATTATGAGAGGTTCCACTGTACTGGCAAAACTCATTCAGTTTACTTACAATACATTTTTAAAGATGAAACCGAAAGAATGGGAGCTAAATCTCGCCAAATATGGCGACGCCTTATGGATTTCTAGAACCGGCCGTAAAAAAAAAATCGTCAGCATTGAAGTTTCAACCAAGTGCATCACAGTTGAGGACCGCTGCTAAATCTATTTTATATAATGCTATGTGGACAGACCTCGAAACGAACAAATTTTTATTTTGCGGGAAAAAAACCAACTGTTGAAAGATTATACAAAGAAAATAAAAAGGGGAAAAGTTAATTATTCTCCAATGTGACGACCGGAAGCTACAATAAGCGGTTACAGTCAAGTTTCAAGATAAGAGGCTATGGACGACATTTAACAGCAGCTAACAGACACAGGAGTTTTGACCACTTCTTGTGGTCGCGCGTGTTTTGTTGGCCGTGTGGACTGAACCGTCCTACACCTTTGACTAGCAAGTCGAGAACTGACATCTGTTCTTTCACCATGGAGACGCTGTGGCTCTATCAGATTCTTTCTGTGGCCCAGGTTGGTGGAGCTAATCTTGATTCGACCTTCAATACCAGTCAGCACGTGCTGGCCAATACATCGTATGGGACCCTCAGGGGCGTGGCTGACTTCAACAACTCGACTGGAGGGGTCATCAAGTTCCTTGGCGTGCCATTCGCCAAACCCCCAACAGGTTCGTCTCACCCTTAAATATCAACTGGGAAATTTGTATTTAATCTTCATTTGATAAATCATTTAAAACATTCCAGTATCAGACTTCAAGTGTTACGGAATTTTTTTTTCAGACTATCGGAATTTTTCACACTATCGGAAATTTTAGACTGCGGGTATTTTCAGTTAAAATATTAATAAAATGTTTTGGACTAATAACCATTGTCTCATGTTCTCCTGTATTATTCCAAAATAATATGGTTGATAGTATATATTATTTAGATTACATTGATATATGCGACAGTCACCGTCCAGGCCATCTTTCTAGGTGCTGTGACAACTCCAGATCGTGCCCCAAAAAGACAAAAATATCTAAATTTTCTATGCCGAATCCTGGCACGCCATCAGGTGAAATTCCGGTGGCATCCGGTTTGTCTCCACTATTCACACAGCCTTGCGTTACCCCCGCTCTTAATGTGATGGTGCCTTTTATTTTCTTTTTTCTTTTTCGAAGGTTAATTTTTGTCAGGATGCATATTTATGATTTATGACGAACCGTTAATAATAAAATCTTGAAACTTAAGAAGGAATAATTTCTAATATTCTGATTTATAGGTTCACGTCGCTTTAAGAGACCGGAAGCACCGGATCGCTGGTCGGGAGAGAGGAGTGCCTTGCAGGCCGGGCCATGGTGTCCACAAGCCCTCGACCCCAAGGTGATCGGTCTGATCAAGTTGGACGAAGACTGCCTGACGCTAAATGTGTACACGCCCAGAAGTTCATCCTACCCCCTGCCTGTCATGGTGTGGATACACGGAGGGGCGTTCTACCGAGGCTCGGGCTCACTGTTTAATGGCGAGGAGTTGGCGCAGAGGGGAGTCGTACTTGTTACCTTCAATTACCGGCTGGACGTTTTCGGCTTCCTGTCTACGGAAGATGACATCCTCCCGGGTAACTACGGACTCCTTGACCAGATCCTGGCACTGGAATGGGTCAAACGAAACATCGCCGCTTTCGGGGGCGACCCTAATCGGGTGACCGTCTTCGGTGAGAGCGCCGGAGGAAGCAGCGTGTCTCTCCTGCTACTGTCTCCCCTCGCCAGTGGGCTGTTCCAAAAAGCTATCATCGAAAGTGGTTCGGCTCTAGCTCCCTGGAGTATCACCTACCCGACCAGCCAACTGAGCCTCAATGGTATATCCCGACTGACTGGGGAGAAGGTTAACTGCAGGCAAATAAACTCGGTCGACTTTCTGGCGTGCGTCCAAGCGGCAAACGCTACGGACCTTCTCAGTGCAAGCACACAGCTCCGACTGTCCACAAAACTAGACGTCATCTACATACCACGTGTCGAGACGGTCTTCGGAGTTGTACCCGCCCGTCCGTCGCAACTCTTGACCTCTGGTCAGTTCACCAAAGTTGACACCATCCGTGGCTACAACACCCACGAGGCGCTGTTTCTTTTAGTGAACACGAGCAGCATAACCCGGCCGGAATTCCGTCAAAAGATATCTCGGGTCATCTCCCCCTTTAAGCTCTCTGACATGGATGCCATCCTTTCACAGTTTGAAGAAGTTTACCTGGCCAACGTGTCCGACGGTGATCTCATCATCCGCCACGCGCTGTCAGCCATTTCCGACTACGCCTTCATCGCACCGATCGTCTTAGAAACGAAGCTGGCTGCGGCCGCGGCTCCGTCCAATAAAAACTATCTCTACGAGTTCCAGTATAAGAGAAGTGTGAGCGCGACGCCTGCGTGGATACAAGCTGTGCACGGCGATGAAGTTCCGTTCGTCTTCGACTCCTTCAGCAACCCACTTTTGTGGCCGGTGGACCAAGGCCACACGCGAGAAGATGAAGACGTTTCTGACGAGATCATCCAACTGTGGACAAACTTCGCCAAGACAGGTGCTCCTACAGATGACGTGTCTCTGAACGCTCTTAGCTGGAAGCCCTTCACCGCCACGCAGGAGAATCTTCTGATCATCAACAAGTCTCTCACAGCGTCCACTTCTCAAAAAAATTCAGCAGTTGAGCTCTATAAAAAAATTCTGCAACTGATAGACAAGCAGACCATTCCCGACGTTATAGTAGGATAATTCACAAATTTCAAATGTTGATTTATTTCTTTCCCAATTTCAATTCTTTGTAATAAATGAAAATAAATAGATTCGTATATCATTTCATTTTTATTCTACTATGGTATGACGTTGACACAATAAAAATTACGACAGTTCTTGCGACGTGGAACGCATAAAGATCACAGTGAGACAAAAAAAACAACAACAACCAACCCCGCAGGTCACCTAATACTTCCTGGTCTATTTCCAGTCGTCTTTGCTGAGTCTGGCAATCGGATCAAATAGGTTAAGACGAGAGGGTGAGGCTGATGAACTCTCCCTAACTTTAAACAAAACACTGCTCAAGTCAAGGCTGCTTCTCAAATCGAAGACTTGGCCATGGTCGCATGCGAAGGGCGAATAATAATATAATTATTATTAACAAAAATAATAATAATCATCTACTAAATAACAAGATAGGGTGTCACCGGGGTCCTCTATATAAAGGCGATAAAAAGTGTATGAAGCATTTACCCTATAGATTCTCACATTTCGTCTCCACACACCTCAACTCACAGACTTGTAACACCACACTCAATTCCCACCAATTAAAAAAACAACAACTAGCCATCTAATCACACCATCCCTCTTCTTCCCTTTACCCCATTACCCCTTTTTTTCTCATCTCTGTACGGACTAAACTTTTTTCCTTTCCATTCTTTCGCACTTACGTCCTTTTGGTAATAGCACTAATTCCTCCTACACTTTATTATACTGCAAAAAGCTATCTCTGATATCTGGATTCGACTTCGAGTAAAACGCCAACAATATTACACACCTTATGATAACACAGTTTAGATAGATAGCAGTCGTCTTTATAAATGACGTGATACTTGCTGCACGCCAGCTCCAAGGAAAAATGTTACGAGCAACACGGCGACCGGTTTATAACCATTGTTGATCTGACCAGAGCATATGACTCAGTCAGTAGAGATGGCATGTTGATCTGACCAGAGCATTTGACTCAGTCAGTAGAGATGGCATGTTGATCTGACCAGAGCATTTGACTCAGTCAGTAGAGATGGCATGTTGATCTGACCAGAGCATTTGACTCAGTCAGTAGAGATGGCATTGTTGACCTGACCAGAGCATTTAACTCAGTCAGTAGAGATGGCATGTTGACCTGACCAGAGCATTTGACTCAGTCAGTAGAGATGGCATTGTTGACCTGACCAGACCATTTGACTCAGTCAGTAGAGATGGCATGTTGATCTGACCAGAGCATTTGACTCAGTCAGTAGAGACGGCCCGTGGAAGATAATGGAGACTTTGGCTGCAGGAGTAGATTTATTACAATAGTACGTCAACTCCATGATGGTATGATGGTCAGAGCGATGGCATGATGGTATGATGGTCAGAGCGATGGCATGATGGTATGATGGTCAGAGCGATGGCATGATGGTATGATGGTCAGAGCGATGGCATGATGGTATGATGGTCAGAGCGATGGCATGATGGTATGATGGTCAGAGCGATGGCATGATGGTATGATGGTCAGAGCGATGGCATGATGGTATGATGGTCAGAGCGATGGCATGATGGTATGATGGTCAGAGCGATGGCATGATGGTATGATGGTCAGAGCGATGGCATGATGGTATGATGGTCAGAGCGATGGCATGATGGTATGATGGTCAGAGCGATGGCATGATGGTATGATGGTCAGAGCGATGGCATGATGGTATGATGGTCAGAGCGATGGCATGATGGTATGATGGTCAGAGCGATGGCATGATGGTATGATGGTCAGAGCGATGGCATGATGGTATGATGGTCAGAGCGATGGCATGATGGTATGATGGTCAGAGCGATGGCATGATGGTATGATGGTCAGAGCGATGGCATGATGGTATGATGNTTTTTTGTTTTTTTTTTTTTTTTTTTGGGGGGGGGGGGGTAAAAGTAAATCATGTACCCTGATGCCAAGCACTCTAGCTACGCCCTTTAGAGTTAAATAGAAAAAAAGGGAGGAAGGTTGTTCATCTAGGTGTCACTTTTCTTATATGGAGATGCGGCATGTTAAGACAGCTGCAGAGTTTGTTTCGTGAAACAGAGAGCGGCAAAAATATTTGGCCCCCATGGTGGCACTAATACGCCTCTAGGCAGCGTATCTCTCTTCACCACCATTATCGATCATTTTCATCGGGTTGTAGGGTAGAAATTGAGGGTGCCGATGAATTTTGTTTTTTGTTAATATAAATAAAAGTAAGACAAAGATGATAATGGTAAACTCATTCAATCAAGAGCATATCTCTCTGGTAGGAAATGGACTGGAAGAAGTAGAGGGCTTCACGTTGACTTAAATGGGGGATTCCAAGTGGATATCAGGGCTAGAATTAAAAAGGGTAGATCAGCATTTGTGCTATTAAAGAAAATATGGGAGTCAAAGGCGCTGACTCTTTACACCAAAGTTAGATATTTAAATATAAATTTCAAAACATGCCTACTATATCGAGCCTAAAATTGTAGAAAAACAGTGAACATTACGCAGAAAGTACAGACCTTTATAATCACTTGCCTTAGAAAGATCCTGAACATCAAATGGCAAAACATCATCAACAACAAAGACTTACTAGATAGAATATATCAGGAGTCTATTGCTGAAGACATCATAAAGAAAAGATGAATGTGGATAGGGCATACTCTTCTCAAGCCCCCAGATAAACATCGCCAGACAATGCCTAAAAGGAAATCCACAGACACACAAAGTATGGAAGGGATACACATGGAAGCAAATGGAAAGGAACGCACAGGAAAGAGATGAATGGACAATTCTTGTAGACGCCCAATGCCCAAGATGGAGTGAAAGTCATAAGTAAGTAAGGAAGATGACACTTGAGCGGTGGAGGGATCTTCTCCCCAGAATTCTTTTCACTATTTCAGAGTATATTTCAATTCAATGTTTCTATTAGACATTTTTTTAAAGGTCTGTGGTGGCAATATGTGGCCAGTGCCGTACATAAATTGAAGTTACTATTGTTTTGGCGTGCATCAGGGTAATCATTTGGCAAAAGATTATATTCAACTCCATACTGTAAATTTATCAGCCTGAGTGAAGAAGTGCAGCAATTGATGGTGCTGAAGACAGTTACGCAAATTCAAAATGCAGGAGTGCATTTTAGCGCATACTTGATTTGGTGTTTCTTTCAGACAATTTTGATGTGACATTTCAAACTTTCGTGTGGGAAGCGCCAAAATTAGCCATAATAATGATCAAAGACATCTTTAATATTGCAGTAGGGTGATGTGAACTAAATTCATTCCAGTTGAGGTGCCCTTGAGTGTAGCAGTATCCCTAGATTAATAGGGAATAATAGTAAATCATTATGGTATCCAGAAAATGTTTGATGAATTCAAAATACAAGAATGTATTTTAGGAAATACTGTAGAATGTTTCAAAACTAAATTTAAGTATTTCCTAAAATTTATTTTTGAAACATTCTACAATTGGAGAGAAACGGAATAGATGCCGATTAAAACAATAAATGTTGTTGTCAATTGACGTTGGAAGCAATGTGTGAGCCCAGCAACCTCTACGACCACATCGGATATTTTATGGGCTTAAAGATGTGATTCGGGTATTTTCTTGAAATCTTCTTTCATGGCAAATGGGGTGTGGGGGGGGGGGGGCAAGATCAAAAAGTGGCAAAAGGGGGGGCCTAGAAAAGTCGAGCGACGGCTCTTTTTGACTTGCTTGTGTTAATCACATATTTTTTGTTATATTACTAAAAGTAATATTGCGTTTATTTTGTATTTAATCCTTTTAGGGGCTTAACTACATAGTTAATAAATGAATTTTTAGAAGAAAAAAAAAGTTTGCATTACAATAAAGCACTGCCAAGATCATTTTGTATGTTGAACGCCTAATAATAAATTTTGATAAATATTTCCAAGTTTTACCACAGTCAAAAAGAAAACAAACTTTTAAGCAGACAGGGCTATAAATTTTTTTTGTGTTATCAAAAATATTAATTTTTATAAATCGCATTTGAACGCCCTTATTATGTAAAGAACACACTTGTTTACAAAATAGAGTAGACATTTCCCAATATTCAAAGAAGACATGAGTTGTTTACAAAATAAAGTAGACATTTCCCCATATTAAAAGAAGACATGAGTTGTTTACAAAATAAAGTAGACATTTCCCAATATTAAAAGAAGACATGAGTTGTTTACAAAATAAAGTAGACATTTCCCAATATTCAAAGAAGACATGAGTTGTTTACAAAATAAAGTAGACATTTCCCAATATTCAAAGAAGACATGAGTTGTTTACAAAATAAAGTAGACATTTCCCAATATTCAAAGAAGACATGAGTTGTTTACAAAATAAAGTAGACATTTCCCAATATTCAAAGAAGACTTGAGTTGTTTACAAAATAAAGTAGACATTTCCCAATATTCAAAAAAGACATGAGTTGTTTACAAAATAAAGTAGACATTTCCCAATATTCAGTTGATTTACATTTTTATTTGGAATTTTAAACTAAAGTAAATTTTTTCAGATAAATTACAAATTGCCACTTAGATATACTTAAAAACATTTTTTCACAAATCCACAGAATTTATTTTAAATTGACAAATATTAGGACTAAGAATTTTTTTCTAAATTAAGTACCAAAGAAATTAAATGTAATTTGCATGATGATCGAAATGCTCCTTAACATAAATCTTTTTTGATTTTTTTTTAAAATACCTAATAGATTCTCATCTAGAAAAATATTAATTTTAAAAATCTGTGCAACTAGATGGGACAATTTGTTTATTATACTGATATTGCAGTTGGGAATTAAATAAATATAGTTGTTGTTTTTTTTACCTCTATTATTCAGGTAATTTTGTTACAAAGTAGCACACTTAAAGAAAATACAAACGCTTTCGATATAATAATTGATGAAATATGCACTATTTTTATGCGCACGTTAAATCTTAATTAAAATATTATATACCTCAATTTTTTAAAGTTTCCATTTTATATAAATCAACATTCATGGATTGAATGCATTTATAATTATGCTTCCTAATTATGCACTAAAAAGTCTTTAAAAGT